CTTTCACTACTGTTATTTAAAAAAAAACGTTCTGTATATATTTAAATTGTAAAAAAAAAGAAAAATCTAAAATTTACCCCGACCCCAATGCCTTTTTAAAAATTAATTAAAAGTCTTCTATGGTTCATAAAAAGATTTATATGAAATATGAAGATAACGAAGAGTGTTCAGTTTTAAAAATCCCTAAAACAATTTAAATAATAAGTAGGACCATGCGTCATGGAGGAATAAGCATCTCCTGCCGACTGGTCACACCGCCGTGTGCTCCCTGTCTTCATCGGGAATTGACAGAAGAATTCATCGTGAATTAGTAGTGTAAAAATAATGAAAAAAAGTTTTCAAAACGTCAGGCAGCATTTAACCCAATGAAAATTTGGTTTTGCTGACAAGATCTTTGCATCGACCATAAAAGTAACGAAATGATGACCTTGAACCAGACTGCTGATATTCTTGCTTCATCAATTTGTCTGTCAACAATTTGCTTCGTTTTAAACATATTTAGAACATGTTCTTGGGTATCTATATTACAAAGATATATAAATTCGGTATGCAGGTGTTGAATGTTTGAAACATAAGGAGATAACGAACATTATTCAAGATCATTGCTGATTAAGAAAGGGTAGTTGACAATTGTAAAATTGAAGTCATCACTTTTATCGAAGAGCTTGGACTTTCTTTACAATGAACTTTGTTTTTCAGGTAAAAAATCCAAATATGAATTAAATGTTTCAGACTCTGTTGTGGTTTTTATGTCAAGATATATCGTATCGACATAAGAATGGAAATAACATTCATGTGTTAATTGACAATACATCGTCGCTATACCTAACTGTCGAGTTGAATGTCACCTTAAGTCTTTTTTCTTTTCCAGCATAAGATTTTGTACAATTTCTGCTTTATAATCATACAAATATAGATCTGCTGATAACAGAGTGCAGTTGGTAACCATAGGAATTATCCAAAAGATTGTAAGAAGACCTAATTTCCAAAAAACACTTAGATATTCGTAATGAGAAATTCAAGCATCTTTTGACGTCAATTTCATTTTGATTTAGAGAATAATCATCATGTTTTTAACAAAATGATTTTGCTAATCACCAATTACAAGGTAAGTAAATATATACGAGTTCTATTTTTATTGAAAAAAAGGTGTCTATGATAAAAAAAAAGCCTGGACTTAAAAAAATATCGATGAGAATGGTTCTGATTACAACTTATATTTGTTTAATTCAGCAACTTATTTAGTGGAATTGAGCATTCAAGAAATAGATTGTTTCCTTTTTTGTCTTCTCTGCTGCCTCCGTTCCCTATTTGTCAATCAAATTTGCAAAAGTGTTGTTGGTTTGCCTTGTCAAGATTGAAAAAAATCTTCATATTACGACATCGTTTCGACGTACTTCCTTTGCACAATTAATATTATGGACACAGTATACGTTTTGGCGTTTTGCACATTTCCTGATTAGAAAAATGCTAGACATCACATGTGTAAATTGTCCTAATATGGGCAGAATGTAGAACTCACCAAAGCAGTAGTCAAAAATAAAACATAAACCATTTACCATACAGACAAAATTAAATTTCAGTTCAGAAAAGAAATCAGGATAATATTTAGAGAAAAAAATATATATTCCAGTGAGTACAATATCCCAGTAGAAACAACAGGGAACTAATTTGTAGGTCGTTGGCCCAACACTCCAAGTTCCTGATATTCCGAGTTTGAAGATTGTATTATTGTATCATATTTCCCCTCTGTTGTCTTCATACTGTTTACTTTTCCTTCTTTGTACTTATCCATCGTTTTCAACTGTTTTACGTTGCCTCTACAAATAATTAGAAATGAATAATTCTATAAGTTGTTGAAAAAGGCTACAGTTCTCACAATATAATAAATAACTAATTCTTAATGTAACAACATTCCGAATTCCTACTTCAATGTACCTTAAGTGGATGACATAGATTAACATTAGAACGTTAACAATTACACTGATGCCGAGAGTGCCTCCGATGAAGTAAAGTCTTATATTGTTTTCATCTTTCTCCTTCACTGTTGGCAAGAAAATTATTTTCATATCATTAATTAATTTTGTTTTGTTTTTTTCTTTGGTTCTACAATCTTGAAAAAAAAAACATTTTTCTTTAAAATTGTTCTTTTAAGTTATATTAGTATAATAGGCAGATTAAAATTTAACCAGGTTATCAGACAAAAACAACAACAAACTTTTTAAACTCACAGATATTTCAACTTGATTAATAAAATTTACCCTCTAAGCAATCCAGACCCATCCAGCCACTTTTACAACCATGTTTGCATACACCAGTCACGTGGTCACAAATACCTGACACGGAACAAAACGCACTACACTTTTGGTTACAGCCAACTCCATATGACCCGGTCTGACAAACTATAATAATAATAACAAAAAGCACACTAAAATGATTAATGTAGTCTGGATACCACAAGTATAAAGAAGTATTTTATTTTACATTCAGTTATTTATTCTTCTAAAAAATGAAGTAGAGTATATTTACAGAAATAAAATCTTCATTATGATTGATATAATACATTTCAAATGATTTTCGAGACGGACGTTGAAGACCAAACTTTCAAATTGAGTTTATACCAATTCAGTGTGTTTTTCGTAAACATCGACACAATAATTATTGGTGGTACAGTTTTATTATACAACACATAAGTGAATGTTGATAATTAAAAACAAGCATACAAATAAAGTAGGGATAATTTATTTTTTTTCCTTTACTATAGATTAAATACAGTATCTTTATAATATGTTCAACATTATGCATTACCTTCAGTATAAGTATGTATTCAATCTAAAAACAATGATTAACATATATAAAAAGTACCATCAGTGCATGTAACACCAGAGTACCCTGGGTCACACCCCATAAGACAAGTTCCATTGATATGATGACATTGATGTCCATCTAAGCAATGTCCGCACTGGAGACTACAATTCTCCCCGAACATATCGGAATTGCATTCTAAAAAGTTTTTATATCAATAAATTCTCTCTCTCCTTTTTTCTGTCTCTCAGTTTCAGACTTATGAATTTAAAATTCGTTTAACGTATGTTAGAGTAACTTTATGTAGAAAAAAAATTGTTACTTATAACAAATTGAAAAGAAATATTAATAAAATGAAGTATCCCAAAACCCATGACCAAAGTCAGACCCTTTTTTGCTGCTACATACCTAATTCACATTTAAGCCCTTTCCACCCACTTTTACAGCCATCCTGACAAGATCCGGATTTACGGTCACATTTATGAGAAAACCGACAATTCTGGGAACACATCTTCACACAGTTTGTTCCATATTGTCCATCTGGGCACTCTTATTAAAAATTCGTTTTTGAAATATAGATATAAAATTTACTGTTTTGTTAATTAGTTCATACATCATCTACATGAGTATTACCATTTAATGCATGCCATTTTTTATATATTTATATTTATGTAAATAAAACATTTATAAGTTGGGGAAATAAAAATATCAGCATTCTTGTTTAAAGTCAATATTTAATAAGACCGTGTAAGGAAATAAAATTTATCATTGAGTCAGATGCTTACTTGCGATTTACGAGGGTTGTTCGAAAAGTCCTCGGACGATATCAATATCCGTTATATTACTTACTTTAATCTGAAATACGTAAGCACAAAACAATGTGATAAAATATTTATTTCGTTAAGGTGTGAACATTTATTCCATTGGATTCATAAGAAATCAATTCACTCCATTTCAAAATTAACGGGTTTGTACCCGCGGAGCAGACTTAATGGCATTGTAACGTCAAACATAGTCTCAAGTATTTCTAAAAATGCTATCCTTATACATTTAAAACTGTATAATTCAATGCTTTATCATTTAATCCTTTTTTAATAGTTGACATTCATTGTTTCCGTTGTATACATGTAATTTCCGTTGTGAAGGTTTAATTTTTTTCTATAACTTAGGTAAGTAAAGGTATCCGTTTTCCCTCGCGTTCCATTTTAGAAAAAAAATGTTCAGATTTTTACAGATAAACCGTTTCTTCACATATTTTCTCCATCCGATACAAAGTCTCTACCTCTCAGATTCCACATGTACTATTATTTTCCGTACACGTATGGACAACTCGTTTGTGATATTTTTTTTTATATTCCTCCATTCTTTTAGAGTATATTTTCCAAAGTGAAAAACAACATTGCATCGTTATCTGCTGCTCCATGACGTTCTAAAACGTCATCGTTTTTGTTGTTTTCAACGAGAACAACCTATCTTCTCAAGCTCATTTCCTTTCAACGAAGGGAAGTATTAAGCCATTATCTGCAATACAAATCTGTGAAACAATTTTCAATTCGATTTTCCAGGCTATTATTTTTTTTTTTTATTTTGCTCCATCTTATGGAGAATATGATATTATTTAGCGTATTATCTGTATCTTACTAAGTTTTCACCTGCTCCGCGATCCGATGTCTCATGTTTAAAGTTAGGATAAGTTTTGAATAAATCGTAATTTTCAAGAAAAGTCATACAGATCATTTGAATTTATTAAAATATCTTCCGAAATTGGATAAGATATGATGTCAAATCAGAAAAAAAAAATTATGACAGAAGTCCATGAACTTTTCAAGCAACCCTTGTACATACTTATTGTAAGTCTAATATTTACACACCATATAGATGACGGATTTTTCTACTATTTTTCGATGACAAAGATCACACGGTGGGTGTGAGCCGTCAGTAGATAGTGCTTACACCTCTATGGCACCTGATCCCACCCCTATTGCTTCCGAGGTCCACCTTTGCTATGCGCCTATTGCTTTTTGGACTTTTGATCTTGAATACTGTTCGTTATCTCCTTCCTTTTCATTCATAATTTAAGAAACATTTGAAAAACTTTTTTCATAAGTAAATGTAGATCTATCTATTTACTCCTCTAAGACATTAATTGAAAAAAAGGTATAATTTCCTCAAGACAAATTAAACAAGAAACTCACCATTGGCACATTTTTCTCCATAGACACCAAGATCACATCCATTCAAACAAGAACCGGTTATATGGTGACATTGTTCAAAGTTCAAACAATCTCCACAATTACTGGAGCAGTTTGTTCCGTAATGTCTCCGACTGCATTCTAAAGAAAAAAAGCGAAAATCCTAAACACTATGCTTATGTTAATTCTGTATCAGATTTTGACTCAAATGCATGTTTTGTTGATTTTTCTATTTCGAACAAATTGATCAAAACTTTTTATTGTACAAATACCATGGTAATTTGAAGATAAATAAGTACAAAATTATAACTTATAGTTCTATTGCACACTAAAACGTCACGTCGGGTCAAAGGTCATAGGGGAAAATTTTTTACATCCGGGTTCTTATGCCTGTAAACATGATAATCATCGAACGAAGACAGTTTATTATACCCGCTTGTAACAACTAATTAAGCACGGAAATTGAAAAAAATAATAGCAGTCAGATAAAATATGTTCTAAGGTTACTATCAACAGTTCAAGATTATAAAGCTTCATTCAATTTCTTAAATTTGAGCTTGTGAAATAGGTGAGAGGAACGTAACGAAATTGTCTGCTCTCTACTTTCATTTTGCTTTTTTTGTCTCTCACACTTGTTAGGAATTTGATAGCTACAGAGCCTGTAATGCAAAAAATGATTTTTTGCGCATTATTTGGGAAAATTTCCAACCTTGTTAAATTTTATACACCTTTTAAACCTTAATAATCAAATTAAACATCTCTATGTACAAGTGATAAACTCGCTGGAATTGGAATTTTCAGTAATCTCTCACTGAGCTCAGACAATTCAAATCAAGCCAGTTTATCGCTTGTAGAGGCTTATATAAATGGTTAAGAGGTGGATAAAATAAACAAGTTGGTTTAAGAATGTATCTGGAATTAGGGGGTGAAAGGTAAATGATTTAATTACCATTAAAGTTGAAAAGTGGAGAAATTCTCCCAAATACTGCGCAAAAAATCCTGCACTGTAAATTGCACATTTTTTGCATTACGTGATCAGTAGCGTGATGGTCAAAGACTTATATATAAAACCATAACACTACAGTTCTGCATCTAGGACTCTGATTTTTATGCCACAAGCATAATTCATTTACAAGTTTTTATATCACTACATTGCAAAATTCCTTGCATCACTCCAGTAGGGATGATCAATTTTGTGTTGAACTGTTGGGGAGGTGAAGCTATAGCTGCAATAATGTAGTCCTCTCCGATTTTTTCAATCGCTGCCCCCCAAAAGGGAGAGGGCTACATTATTGCAGCTTGTAGAGCTGTAGTGAAAAATGTATAGCAGCTTTAGTGAAAATGTATAGCAATGAACTCTGGCTTCTTTGATTTGATAGAACCTCACGAAAGTGTCATGGCTGACAAAGGGTTCAGTAATGTTATGGAAGAGCTAAAACTTTCTCATGGAAATTTGCTTGTTCCACCAGGAAGGCATGGTATTGCAAAGATGACTGCATATGATGTTCAGAAAACAGATGAAATAGCAAATGGAAGAATATATGTAGAACAAGCCAAAAGACATATTAATTCTTTCGCTTATTGAAATATGAAGTTCCTGTTACAATTTGTCAACATTTATGGGATACACTCAAAATTGCTAGTGGAATATGCAATCTTTTATCCACCCCTTCCTAGGTATGATTAAAATGGTAAAAAAATAAGCTATGAGGAATTTTTTCTCTTCGGAAACATTTATATTTTAAAATTTTGCTATAACAAACATGAAATCAGTATATGACAATGCTTTAATATATACATTACACATTTGTCAACACATTGTTGACATTGTTAATGTCATTCTCAGAAAGTTCACATTTTATGGTACTTATGTCTAAATGTAGTACACTAAATATGACAAATAATCTTTTTCCTTAAATTCAGTTTGAAATATCGCCTATTAGACCCATGTAAGAAGATTGTGAAATCAGACAATTGACCTGAGAATGTGTATTTTTTTTAAATTAACAGTCAATCTATTACAAAATTGTGTGATACTGTTTATAAAGGCAACCCTTTGTTACTTAAATTCAGTAAAATACAGGTATATTAATAGCAGTTTATTTGAGACAAATATTATTTAAAAATAAAACATATATAGCCCAGAAATGGAAAATTCACAGGTAAATATGCATATTAACCACAATAAAAAATGTAGACTCCAACTATTGGAAGATTGAGCTTTAGTACTGTTACTTATATAATGGTAAAGGGATGGATCTTGATGCTAGTGTCAGATTGTTAAAATGATGATAACATAGATTTCATGTAGTATTGTTGGACGTCGATCTGTAAGCAATCCTCCTCAATCATATCTGCTCCGGAAGCATGTGGTTCCTTCTCCTTGGCTTGGTGAGGTGGATCAACATCTAGACCTATAATGAAATTTAACACATTATACCAGGCATAAATCATTACTAAATAATTTAACTGTTTAACTTAATATAAAAAGTTTAAGAATAAGTTCAAATAGTTGTTGATTCATCCTGCTGGTTTTTATTTTATTATTCACTGAGGAACCTTGATGATTGAGATGAATTATTCAAATTTGGGGTAGAGATTTCTATCAATGGTGAAAAAATAGAACCTTCATGATCATCATGATTAATAAATATATATATAACATTTTTGAAGAAGTTTTCCCGTTATATCACAAATATAATATTTTTATCCATATGCCCTGAAATACTGCCGAATCACGCCGGTGTAAAGACCAAAAATGACCCCCATCGAATAATGACCGGGGGGTCATTTTTCAACGACAAAAAATGACCCCCACCCGTAGAAAAAAATCATTTTTTTGTAGAAAAAGGGTCCTAGGGGGTCATTATTTTATATATTAGTCCTATAAAATAATGACCCCCATAGAAAAATGACCCCCTTTAAAGTGATACAAAATATAGACTCTTTGATATCGTTTTTACAGCGAAACAAATTTTTACATTTTCTGTAACCAGAAAAATACAAAAAGTCGTATGAAATAATTAAGAGATTCACGTAGTCTTTCAGTGCTAAAATCGTGTTTGAAACGAGATTCTTTAATTGTCAAGTAAATAAAATTTCTTTTTAATATTCCTCCTTATAATGTTTGCTTAAAGAATGATATTCCACTTGTTTTTAGAAATCAAACCATGCAAAAATCAGGTTTAAAGACTCTTTAATAGGAAAAATTAAATTTTCCGTCATTTCAACTTTTAGTTTGTTTAAGTATGGCAAATCCTATTTGACAATGAAAGAGGAGGAAATTTTTACCCCCCCCCCCAAAAAAAAATAACATTACGTTAAATCAAAACCAAAAAAAAAATAATAATAATAAATGAAAAGCAAAAATATAAATAAAACTCTATACCTTTCAATAATTCTGAGAAAGGCTCTAGATAAAATATTGAAATGAAGTTAAGCCTTCACACAAGTACTATCATATCATAATTTACTTCACCTTGATTAAAGCATACTTTAAATGTTGGTGGAGGTATACTTGAAAGTATTGTGGCAAAGTAACAATTAAAAATTAGTAGAATAGTAGATTATTTTTAGCTTATTTTTGATTCCTTCTTATAGACAAATAAAGGTAGGGTGTTTTTTTTTTTGCTTTTATTCAATATCAACTTCCTCCTAAATAAGAAAGGGGTGGGGTAAGTATAAGACCTAAAAATATGTTCTGTAAAGCTATAGGCTAGTGTAAAATACAGTCATTCTAATGCAAAAACTATACATGTAGACATAAACTTTTGATTTAGCACACAGTATCCATTACATTTCTTTTAACGTAGAACCTACTTCGTATGACATCATAACTGGTAAATGTGTTAAACCTGTGCTAACCCATTAAGACGTCATAATTAATTCTATGCCACTTTTTCCCGTACTTGACAGCTTCAATAATCAAAGAACTGAAAGCACTCATGGGAGTTGAACGTGGTGTTAAATAAAATCTATGATCGGGAGGTTAAGTGAGTGAACAATATTATTATTTCAAATAAAGACAACTGTTTCAGATTTTTTGAGTTGCAAATATTTTGAGAAAGACATTCAGAGACATTGAATATCAAAAAATGCAGGGCCATATTGTTGCCTGCCTACATTAGTCCTTTTTTATACCCCCTACTTGAAAAGCGGGAGGGTATTTATTAATCTGGATTTCCGTCTATCTGTTTATTACGCTTTAGGTTTACCCCTCTCTTATCCGCAACTCCTCTTACACCAGTGAACGAAATTTTCATAGAATCTTTATTACATATTGCCATTGTGCACCTTCTATTACTTTTCCATCCTACACATATTTTGGGTTTTACCATTGCAAAACATGGACACTGCCATTATATTCATATTAGAGGCAGTTGATCATTTATATAATTCACTGCTCACAGACTTCAAATTTGTAAGATATTTTTCCTTGGCACCTTTACCCATGTGTTATGAAAATTTCAGTTTCGCAGGAATAATATCAATGTTGATAAAATGTGGATTTTAACACAGCATCCTTTTATGAGCTAAAAGGTTGTTATATAAAACTTCTCTGTGAATATAAAATTTAATGTATTTCAATTACACGAACATTATACATGGAGTACGTCAGAACTTAATCTTTTTTAATATTGTGAAGAAAATAGCAATGCCAAGTTTAAAACATATATTTAATGACCAAACATAAAAACAGTGGTATATGTGAGAGTTTGTGTGCGTACGAGTTATCTGGTATGTAAATGAGGTTTTACTTTTATTAAAAAAAACTTCATTTTGTTGTTTTTACGAAATGATTTTACGAAAACATCAGTGTCCGTTTTTTGGTTTAACATTTTTAACAGACTACTAGATTTACCGCTTTTGGCAGGTGATACTGCTGATTTAGTAACGAATACGCATGTTTCCTAAAGTTTTTATGCATTAATGAATTCATTTAAACAAAGAAAATGTTCATGAAAAGTTTGAAGAAATTTTGTGCACCGGTAAAAAAGAAATTGCTAAAAAATCCGGGACCGTCGGGCGTCAGGACGACTATACCGCTTGCCGTTAGTATGTAGAGTTGTCGATCGTATCTTTTTCAGTGTATGTCGCCACACAAAAAATGAGTTCCATTACGTAAAACTTTTGAGGTTCTTTATAATTTAGTTTTACTTTGAACGAAATATAATATTCAAATAAGATATAAAAATATAAATAAGATTACTTTATCATTATTACATTTACTTACATTTCAAATTATGAAAATTAGATCAATTTAGGAGAAAATGACATGAACTATTTGTTGCGGATGTTTATGCATGTTTTCTGTTGAATATCATCAGCCGACACAGTAGCCTCGCTTTCGGCTCTATATAATCAACACAAATTACTGCGCATGTTAAATACGTGATGACCATGGGAGATTGAACATAGTTCAACTCCCAAAAATGGTAGAAAATACTGCATTTTGAAATTCACAGAATCCAATCAGGCCAACATAATCTTAATTCAATTCATATATTTCTTGGTTTATAATGCTTAATGGCAATATATTTCTGGAATAAGAGAAAATTTGTAGGCACCTTTTATTTACTAGATCTAGACCTGAAGTTGACAAACCCAAGACTATCTAGTGTAATGAAATTACAATGTACATACAACTTTCGTAATAATTTGAATGCTATGTAACCATTTTGAAGGAATGCATAAATCGTAAGAAATCTTTAGTTGCCAGCTATATAGTGTAATATCTTGATGAAATGTGTCAAAGATGAACGTGTTGTAGATCGTTTGATCGTGTGTACATTTTTTTTATATCTATAATGAAATGATGTGCATTCCTTTTAACAATTATTTGTTACCTATTCATATTCTTAGTGTTTGATTACAATTTTTCTATTAAATATGATCTTTTTAAAGTAAAAGTACAATTTCTGATAAATATTTAATCTGAAAGTAACCCCAAACAGTCATTTAATTATTAAATCCCGTGTAAGTGCAAAAAGGTCAAGAATATGAGTATCGGTATATAGCCTATCTTTCATTTGTTAGAGGGGAAAGGTATAGATTTTAATCATTTTTTGTAATCATTTGGCTATATCTTCATCATATTGAAGATTGAAAACATTGTGACAAAGACTTCTAAAAATATTTACAAACATAGGGTGAATAATTGACTAAAAATAATAGAGTTCATTTGACTATTTTTTTTTTAATTGTGGACTTATCTTTTATGTTAATTGAATAAAAAAGAAATTATTCTTATCAAATATTGTTTAATATTATTCAGTTAAAAAAGTTTATAAACGACGATGTTTGAAGAAGTATTTTTGTGATTTTTCATATTCCCTTTATGACAAGTACCCCTAAAAATATTTGAAAATGTGAAGTCGCAGTATGTAAATACCATACCAAGTTTCACTGCCTGTTCTAGATTAAAAAACAAGGAAACATATCATGATATCTTAACTGATTCATAAGCAAGTACTAATTTATCATTTTGAAAAGTTTGAAAATCTTGTGACAAAGACTTTTTCGACATAGTTTCTACCTTAATTCTTGTTTTACTCCACCCTTTTACTCAGTTCTGAGTATATTTTTCAGAGAATTTAATATGAAAATCAGAACAAACATTTTCATTGTTGTAACGTCTTCTCTATAATGTATATTAATATGAAAAATTAATTGAAGACCATTTCTTTTTATGTCCCCGTAATCGAAGATTCGGGGGTATATAGTTTTATCGTGTTCATCTGTATGTCCGTCTGTCTATCTGGCGGTTTGTTTGTCCGCAAAAACCTTAACCTTTACCATAACTTTTCATTTATTGGAGCTATGACTTTCATATTTAATATGTATATTCCTTGTGACAAGACCTTACTTTGGGTACCACCAAATTTGACCTTTTGACCTTTACCTTGGTGTTTTTCCCATTTTACACAAAAATGCAAAAATTTTTCTTTGGTCATAACTTTTAAACGGTAGATACTAGTACTCCCATACTTCAAATATGTAGTTTTTTGGCATTACTGTGACCAAGTAATTACATATTTTAATTCATATATTTATTTAGGATAATACCGTACTCACTTTTGTTAACTTATTTCTTATTCGATTATTGAATTAAGTTAGTATGATTCTAACATTTTGTAAAGGCTTTCGTCGAACACTCTTTGTAATCTCATTCCTGACTGGCGTATTTTTAAAATCAACTCAATCCACTTGCGCAGTAGGTCTGGGTATAAATACTCATGTTCGATTGAAATTACTTGTCCCGCCAGCCAGTTTTCAAGGTCACACTTCTCGAGGCCGTGCTGTCCGTAAAGGTATTTTCTATTGAAATGCTTTTCTTTTTCATAACTTGTTATTTTTCTCATAATTTATTATTTTCATTCTATTTTGTTATAATTTATGTATATTCTTTTTATAGACACATTCCATTGTCCTTTGTTGCTGTTTGATAAAGATTCAATCTAAACGTGACCTGGTCTTGTTACTGCTCGGTTACATTACCTTTCATTGGATACTAAAAACCTTGACCTATTGACCTTGGAGTTTTCCGTACTTATGATTTTTTTTTTACCTTGGCTATAACTTTTGAACGGTAAGGGCTTGGGTATTCATACTTCACATATGTAATCCTTGTTACATTAAACATTTTCTTAAGAAATCATCAACTTTGAACTTTGAGTTTGATTTACCTTTCAAAAACTTATCCTCAGCCATTACTTTTGAACAAGTGGTGCTAGGGCTTTCCTATTTTGCAGTTGTATTTCTTGTGAGAAGAACCTACTTTGGGTAACAATATATTTAAATTGCATTTAAGAAAAGTTTTTTTCTGTCAGTTCGATGATTTCCACCATCAAAAAACAATGTTTACCCAACCCTTAAGGCTTGATAAATCTTTTACTCCTTTAGATTCTGAATCATTGCATTTACCTTAAAATATAGCTATAATTGTATAATGTTATGAGATCAACATATCATCAGTTTATTCCCAGTAAGCTCAGGTGAGCATTTTGGCCAATATGCTTCTTCATCCAATTTTTTTTTGCCCCCTAAAAATTTTAGCTTTAATCTACAGGGGGTCATTTTTCTACGGGGGTCATTTTTCTTCACGTGGGTTCTGCAAATTTTTAGGGAAGTGACACTTTTTCTACGGGCAAAAGGGTCATTTTTCTACGTCGAATAATGACCGGGGGTCTTTTTTCGCTGTCGAAAAATGACCCCCGGTCATTATTCGATGGGGGTCATTATTCGTCTTTACACCGGATACAGTTATGTTCCCCGGAAACAGTTATATTACCCTCCCGAACACAGTTATGTCCCCTCGCGTGCAATCATTCTGCATATTAATTACGTCGGGTTCGAAATTCAGAGAGGCAGTTGCCAAGCAAACGTAAACAGTTCCGCGAAAGTTAAAAAGTCAAGGCAACGTCTGCGATTTGTTTATTTGAATTCAGAGGAATTAGATAATTCATTTGAGGAGAAAAATTCTTTAAATACAACAAAGGTTATCAACACAAGTGTCAGCATACTGAAAACATTCTGGCATGAAACAGGACGGAATATTTCGGAATTTTACTCAACGTACATATGTGTACATACTGTTCAATAAATATATTCGATGATCGATTTGGGTTCAATGCTTAAAAATGTTATATACCATATATTACATGGCTTAATTCTCGGGCAGCAATACCAGAATATTTGCCCCGAGGTGACAGGAAAGCCCTGGAGTGTTATGTCGCCCTCTGCCTGCGGCATCGGGCGACATAACACCCCAGGGCTTTCCTGTCACCTCGGGGCAAATATTCTGGTATGCTGCCCTAAAAGCCATGTAATATATGTATAATATATGATGTGATACAGATTGAATTGTAATCTGTTACCTTTAAATAAACAAGCATCGGGTAAGGTTTCTCTAAATGCATCTGAAAAGGTTGCTTAAAAGTTGACCTCCTCACTATCCTTAATCCTGCAACATGATTGGTACATGTTTGTCCAAACCTATATTTGAGAGCAGAAGAAAGCATTAATTAAAAATACACTTTTACAAGAAGAAGGATCCAAACTTGAAAGTAATTTTGAATTCTTTATAATAGTTTTAAAATATTGATGGAGATTCAGTGGGATAAAGAGCTACTGACCATTCAACCCCATTGCAAGGTAAACTCAAAAGTACTGCATGTATTGTACATGTCATATTATTACGCATTCAACTATCATTTGAGAAACAAAAATATACATTTTTTTCCAGCAAATCACTGTGTCTTTGAGTATTTAAACACACAGATGGTCAATATCAATTTTAACATGTATGAACTGAATTGAACCTGTACTTTAACATGTTATAAGAGAAAAAAAATATATAACTCTACTGGTATTTCAACCCTGAGGAATAATAACAATAATAGCGAGGTGGTGCAAAGCACCACCATATGTCATGCTCACCATGCTGTTCAAGTACAGAAGGCAGACTTAACTTCCCCCGTATCTTTAACACAACACAGCACAGCAAGCCCACATAGACAGAACGTTCTATTGTTAAAATGATATTGTCCTACGCACCCGATGTGGTGAGGTCTTGTACAGAGAAACAGTTATATTAATTTAACTACAAACTTACCCTGTATGAGGCTCAGAACACAGGCTCTGTGAGGGGTACATGCGGCACACAGAAAGCAATATGGACTGGTTCTGTCAATAGGGTGGTAAAACACTTCTTTCAGTGACAGTCACTGGCTCTGGAAGTACTGGTAGGCCTTCCCAACTTTATATCGGTTTAATGTTTCTTTGCCCTCTTTTTCTGTCTCATACCTTACCAAAATAATCACTCATATGAAATTATGTACACAAGTATATATCTTCAGAAGTGATGGGAAAGCAAATGAAACCATAATAAAGCTTGATTACTGATCATACTGTTAAATATTGCAGCTCATTAAATTTATACTTGCTACAAAACCATCTTGATAGTCACATACTGTATTTCTGTATTATGTGTATTCATAGTCAAAGTTGATATCTTTTTTGTAATGTCTATTAAATTTTTTTTTTTTTTACTGGATATATACCTCATTAAAAACACTGTTATAAATCGGTGATGAAAGTTGATGCCCAATTCTCCATTCCAAGCTTTGAATCTTGCCAGGCAGTTTTCATACACTGATACAGGCCCTAATGTTAACTCGCGAAGCTCATACAGTCAGGTTATGTTTACATTGGTTTATTGATAAAACTGCCAAGTCCTCGTCATGCTCATGGTCCTGTAATTCAGTCTTGTCCTCTGTGTCCATGATGTGGAAAAATTGTGTCAATATATGTGTGTAAAACGTATCAAAAATCCAGTAAAATATCGAAAAAGGTAACAGAAATTCGCAACATCAACAAGTGGCATCCATATTGTTTACGCTGGTTTTTTCCCCTATCAACTTTGACACGCATACATAAATAGGTAAATCAATATGGCGGCTCTCTGTGTGCAATAGAACTATTGCTTCTGGGTATTATGAAAATATAATCAAAATTTGTAAAAATGTAAACCTTTATTGCACTCTGGACCACTCCACCCAGAATAGCAAGGTCCGTTACATATTCCCGAAAATCGGTTGCATGAGTCACAATGACACACACCTTTGCAATTCTCTCCATAGTTTCTTCTCAGACATGCTTGCATTTCAAATTGAATTTAAGAAAAACAATTATTAGAAAATTGAAAGGAAAATCAATGGAACTAAAGACATTTTACACCTTGACACCAAGGTAATATACAATTCTCAGAAACAGAAATTACGTTAATCAATGCAAAAAAATTACTCTTTTTAATTTTACATTCAGTTATCTAGGTTATTTTTATTCATAGGAAAACCGTGACGTTGTATGCGGTTTGTAGAATTATCCTCTTGAAAAGTTGTTTTTCTCACACAATCCAGCGCATTTAGAAAAAAATACCATAATCACGAAACAAGAGACAAGTATCTTTATGTATTAACCGAGTAGTATGTGTACTATGTGCAATACTCATGTTCAAATTATCCCTTTTATAACATTAAATAAAATACCAAAACCTTAAAATGATATGGGGCCTACTAAATAAGAGAAACGAATAATATAAAGTAACACAAGAATATCAGGCCCTTAGTTTGTTTTTTTCATACTATTTGATAGCTGTAGACATCAACTTTTACTATATATCGTACTTAATTTGGTTATGATTTAATTTTACACACAGTAATACATATCAACAACAGATGCATTTTATCATTACTATCACTGTATTAATACATTGATAGTAATGATGTCATGTACCTGTCTGACGTTATATTACAAAATGACGACACAGTTTGTACGCATTTTGAGTCAGTTTGTTTTGTGATGCAATTTTCTTAACAGTGATTATATCGTATTGCTACAAAAGAAATGGAAGTTGAGAATTTAGAACTTCACGTCATCACATTTGATAATAATAAGATTGCAATGTTAGGCTACCATAAGCGTATTTTTCTTGCAAAATATGAAAAAACCTATGTATTTCAGAGTTTGTCTTTTTTTTTTCAAGAAAACATGCAACCACTACATGGAATACAGAATAAAGATTCACGTAATAATTTAAGATTGATTCATGAAGGTCCTTGTCGATAAACCGGCACGTTAATCCGAAGAACAATATAAAAAAATAGGCCTGGTAACAAAAAAGGAAGCAATACGTTTGAGAAAATGATTTGGAGCATTTGTTGCAATTTTACTTTTAAGAATACGTACGTCTCAAACATTTTTCCCCAAAGACGCCTTTACCACAGCCTCTTTCACATACTCCGTTTATATGATGACAAGTTTCATTATTGCTACAGCTTCCACATATTTGCGAACAGACCTCTCCATAAAAAGAAGGACTGCAGGCTAAAGATAAAAACTTCAATTTTTAATCAAATTAGATTCTAAGCCATTCTTTCTCTGTTCACATAATAAATTCCTTTTCCAACATGAGAAAGGAGTAAATATTGTACGAGCCGATTTTGGCCCCTATCAATCAACATTTTAGAATGATATTAAGATATGTTTAATTGATATTTATTTTGTAGAAGAGATTATTTTAGAAATTATATGTCCAATATATTTTTCACATTTATAGGCACTCACTGGCTGTAAATGACCTGATAAATAATGTTATTTTGTTATCTAACAAAAAAAAGTCAAAAATATGCCTTTTTCTTGATGGGAAACATAGAGCGCAGTTTAGAACATGAATAATTTTTCTGTCACTAATTAGTATTGGATAGATACATCTTTGGTAAAAATTTAAAGAATGTTCTAGTTTGCGCTCAATATTTTCTGGAAGAAAAACTGCTTGAAAATAAGCAGTTTTATACAACATATGCTAAAATAGCGGGAAAATGTTTACTTTATGATGTCATATTTCTAAATTAACGGTATTTTGATCAAATTGACAATGACTATAAAGGTCGCATGTATAGCGGTACAGATTAAAGCTATACATATATTAAACTTAAGATAATCATTTTATGGGGCCATTTGAGACTCTTATCATATATCACTCTTTATGTTGATTATGAAAAATGTAATCTACAGATAATTAAACTGAGTGTACTTTAAGGAATATTCGCAGCGCTGCCCTACAATACACGGTCAATGGGAATCGAAGTTAGATACAGTTAGCACAGAGAAAGTCACTTTTTAAAGTATTACTATTTCTGCAAAGCACGTGAGTAAACTCTTAACCGACGGATTTTGTCTCCTAACCGTACAAGAACAAGGCGCTATACCGCTCGGCTCTTTAAGCAAGTCAACAATCTTGTGTTTTATACAATGGAATTCCCACAGTACTGCCTTAGAATACACTTCAAAGAAAATGAAAGTGAAACAGTTTATTAGAATATTGTTGTGATGATTTTTTTTCCTTTATTATAAACCATATTTTACAACGACTCAGAAATCAAGAAAACAGCTCGAAGTGAAGAAGTAGAAATATAGTAAAAGGACACAATCAAATTGACAAGGATACCTTCTTCCCTAGCCCAGGATTGAACTCTTAAACTCCAAGAAATACGGGAACAGTACACTAGACCGTTGTACTACATAGGCAAATCTAAAGTTCTACTTTTATTGCATATGGAATTCTCTCAAAGGTACATATACTTAATATTTTAAATTTTCGCAGAGCGCAAATTAAGCGATGTATCCCTAAAATTGATATTTTGTTTGAGCGAATATATTCTGAGATTTTTAAATTTCAATGAGGAAACAATTACGAAAAAAATCCAATTAATCTAAGCGACTTCAGCACCCTCAATGCCCTAAAAATCCAAATAAACCAATGTTCATAATTCTGCTTATATTGAATATGCATGTAATTCTTTTAATCTTACAGTGGCTGGAACGTTATTGTTGACAACTTACACGCACGATCACGTTACACGAACGATTCCGCACGATTAACGCACGATTAAACCTGTTACACGAACGATCTTTCACGTTCACGATTCTACACGTTACACGATCTTACACGATTGTTAACGCAAACGCACGATTCTTCACTCAAAATAGTTCAAAATATTTAGGAATCAATATTTTCAAAACGAAATACGGCTTAATACTTATTTAAGATTTCAAAGAATTATCAATATTATTTCATAGACTTTGAAGAAAAAAACGGAAAATGATATTTCTGTAACTAAATATATGCAAGACTTAATATTTTAGATTAAAAATAATTATTTCTAAGGTAATTCTCCGATAAAAAAAACGGATTTTGTACGTTCTATTAGACGATGTACATGTACGTGGGTCATATAATTTGATTGAATTGGATATCATGATATGCAGAAAGGGGGATACGATTGAACAAAAATGGCAGCATGGAATGACTTAAATTATAATTACAAATGTTATCCTTATGTTTCCAATGATTCAATGTCTGATAAACTTGCCAATTATTCAACTTTTTTATTTGCATAAATTTAAAATTAATTAATTACAAATAAGCTCAACAGATAAACACCGATAATCAAAACTCCCGAGAATCATGCCGTGTCCATGTATATTTGTCGACTAACTAGTTATGTAAACATTGAGAAATGTTTATTTCTTTGTAAACAAATATATTTATTTTCAATGAATTGATTTCAAGATTATCTTGACCACAATAAGAAGTAAATAATAATTAAAATCAGATTTTTCAAAAAGGCGTTAAAGATCTAAGTACGGTTTATCACTATGTTGATCGCGCTATTTGACAAGAACTTAATATTGTACGACTTAATATATTGCTTCTTTACGGGCGATAATTAGTTCGTTCTGCATTCTATTATGTAAATTGCGCTTTTTCATTTTATTTAAATTTTAATTAATAAATTAAGAAAAACAAACAAGGGAAATGCTTATTTTACAAATAATATTCCGATAAAAACTTACAAAACGAAATTTACACGATACTAAACGCACGATTTCGCACGATTAAAAACGCACACGATTGAGTCTGATACACGAACGATCTTACACGTTAAACGAACGATCACTCACGATACACGAACGATTCTACACGATTGGTTTGTCAACAATAACGTTCCAGCCACTGTACGTAGTTCACACCTATGCCCCTGGTACCCAGGTTTACATCCCTGACAAGCACCTGTCTCTATGTGACAATAACGACAGTTAATGTCAGGACAAGGGGAGGAACAAGATGATCCATAGACTCCTGATTTGTTGCAACTTAACAATTGTAGGGAATACACAAAAATTTAGTGGACATAATGTTCCTTGTTAATTTACATGTATAACATGTATATTCTCTTTGAAAGCTGGTATAGTGTGCAAATTATTTTGCTTGTAATTTTTTCCTACTACAATTGACTGAAATCATTAATTTATAAGTTCTTTGATTTGTAGCTTTATATGAGTTTAGGCTTGTGTAAAATTCAAAGAGATATATTGAATTTATAAGTTTCCAAACAATTATTAATAAAAATGACTTAATTATGGAAGAAACGACGATTTACCTACCATGGACCTCCAGTTCACATAATTCGGTGTGTGCGTATGAAGACAATTCACTGGCATGTGCATGTGACATCTGTGGTCTCTCGTTATAGTAGATGACATATTGTCCATGTACAGGGCAAGTTATGTTGACAACGGCTGGTATCGTAGCATTAGTATACATTGTGTCATGAAAGCATAAATGACCATCGTGTCTGCTTGTTGTATTCGATATATAGACATAAAATCCCAAAAACCTTGCAGTGTAACCATTTGAAGGTCCTTAAAACACGAGGCAATAGTAAAATTAATTTCTTTAGCACCTAAAATCTCATAATTTGAAATGGATCTCACTACATATCAGCTCTTTACAAAATTAAAAGAAACAAATAAATTGTCAAATGTTCATATATCAAGCTACCACTCATTTGGATGCAATAAAGTTCTAACAAAATTTTACTTTTTTCTCAAATTTTGCAAAGAATTTTTGAAAAACTTGATATTCCGAAATAAGGGGTTAACGGGTTCAAAAAGCCGTTATGTTGATTTTTTTTTCTCGTCAATTACCATATAATATGTGTTTTTGTTAAACTTAGATACAATTCTAAATAGTTTAAAAAAAATGGTGCATAAACAATTTAGGCTATGAGAATTTTTGAAAAAAAAGATATTTTGAGATTTTTTAATGATATACATGGACAGATACAAAAACTTTTTTTTTCGAGGAAAAATTCAAAATATTCTCCTGGAAAATTAATAGTTTCGATTTCTGGATGTGTTAGGATAAATCCGACCTATTTGTGATGATTTTTCATGCAGATACATTTCGTTATCCAAATAAAGTTTTAAAATGAGTAATGTTACCCCATGGCGCATTATCTGTTCTGTAATATATCTTGATATCATGGATGCTGTGGATAGACTTCAAGTTTACCAACCAGGTGGCGATTTTGTGTCCATTATCTGATAAAGTACATTCTCCCCCAAAGCCTGAGAGGTTCGTCTTTAATCTGTCTACTGCTTTCCCAGAATCAAAAAGTGAATGCGGAAAGATGTGACTTATGTACGGATTAGATTGGAAGGTGGGTTTACCTAAAGCTATGTTTTCTGAAAAAAAGAAATTTTGAAAATATTGTTACATCTTACGTACTTTTATTCTGACTTCCATATTTATATGAGAACTCAGCTAGCTTTTGGACACCCATAGAAAGTATGCCTTAAAAAATTCTTAGAAAATGGATATAAGGTTCGATTTAATCTTAAACAGGATTAGTTTTGATGAATAAAGATTCACCTATTTATGTACATGTATGTATATGTTAGGTCTCCTCTTTATTTTGCAAAAGCAACTTAACTTGCCTCAAGAGTCTGATTGATCTTGAAAACAAGAAAAATTAAATAAAATACATAATTCCCAGAAGACATCTTCCAATTGCGTGTCGATTTACATGGCTTCATACTTCCTCAAGGTGCATTTATTTCAACATTGACACCAAACATGTCCTTTTGAATAATATATGAAATTAAAGATAAACTCTTCATTTCAGAAACATGTTGAACAAAACAAAAATAAAACAATGTTAACACAATGATTGAAATAAAACCATTATTAGAATATAAATAAAAGCAATCACTTACCATACCCATATGTATTATGTAGAAGAGTAAATAAACATATAAATATGCTGCGCAACATGTCGGTAGACTGTTACAAAAACAAAGCGGAAGAACATTTAAGAGCGTATACCACAATCCTTGGTTGTCACCTGTAACATAGTGTTATGTAAAAATCGATATTGTTTAGCCGTCTTAAATAGAAAAGTTTTACTAAAGGCCTATACTGATTGCATAAAACGTCTTATTCATAAAAAAAGGTTATAATGTATTTATACAATGGTTGTCTGGAATAGATGCAAGTATTTAGACATTTTTGTTTCACAAATGCTATTAAATTATATATATTAAAAAAAACCCGTACCAACAAAAAAGTCGTTTTCAAGAGTCCTACGAGGGTCGTTCAATAAATAATGCGACTTGTGCTCTAAAAGTAAGAAAAGTACGTAATGCATAATCTTAACACCTTAACAGTTATATTTCCTCAATACATTCCAATTTACTCTTTACTTCTGTCTTTGAATCCATGTAGAGGAGTCCTCAGCACGTTATTATTCTTTTCTCTTTTTTTGTAAAAATTGTAATAACAAAACATTATATAACATAACAACAATTAGCATACCTATCCTAGGGGATGTCAAAAAGACACTCATGAATGTCATTTCCCATGATGTATCTAACATTATAAAAATGGTACCTGTTTTAGAGGGTAACAGTTGAAATTGACAGCCCAAGGAAAACCATTGTCAACCGACACGTCAAAACAGGCACCATTTATTTTATTACACTGAATGTCTTATTTATGTAGGATGTCAGCAAAAAAAAAAATTGCCCGATCACCTTTACGTTTCAGTTAGAACGCTTTCAAACTCCCCGCTACTGAGTAAAAGATTAACTGACCTCTTTATTGTTTTTATGATACCCTAAGAGTCTTTTATCATATAATGTTTCGTTATTTCTGCACTTGCCGTCGTTTGTTGTTTTCAATTAGGCTACATCAGACGCAAGCTTTTAGTGACGTCAACTTTATTCCGGTTCTTTCAAACGCGCAACTGACATTTTGAGAATTCTACGCACATAAATTCCACGCATGTGACATTACAGTTGTGTTACCCATTGTCACGTGTGTTACTAAGGCTGAGTGTAATAGAACGGATTGTTAACTGCGTCTAAACCAATCAGATTTTAGTATTTAACATAAAAATATAATAATGCACAATAATCCTTTTATTGTTGTTATGTTTTTATGAAAATAAAGATTTCAGAATGGCTTAGATTGAGCTAAATTGAGTGATGGAAAAATTCCAACCACTTTCTTTCCCTCACTCTTATTTATTTCTTATAACTTAATGTAACTGTGTTGTCAGGCACAAAAATAGCCTGCTCACCGAAATTTTGACTACCATTTTAGGAGATCTATTTAATTGTATGTGACGATTTTGAACCTAAAGTGCAACTCGAACTGCTGAAGTTGGGACAATATAATCATAATTAAAACATGTGTTATGAATATTGACTTTTTTCGTATTCATAAGACTTCTTGACAATTTATGACATGCTCCCCATTTCTACAACACAATATAGTTAGAGAAGGACGCAGGCAATTTCGCAGTAATACATTTACGTAAGGAAATCAATTCATTCGATTATTTTAGGAATAACAGTGTACACAGATTGCTGCCATTCATGCAGCAACTTTAAATCTAAATCAACCCTAAAATAACGATATACTTCATGCATTTTCAAGTAAGTAAACTTAAACTAATATTAGAATAAACAGCACCAGTAGGGCAGAAAAAACAGTAATATGTCTTGGCATTCTTGTATTGGCGTGTGATGACTGGTCGTCACGAAGAAATCGAATACTCGATGCAAATTCTTGGACACACAATGTATACAAAATTTCGTAGCTGTTAAAGTTTTCTTTACATTTCAAAAATACTATATTTCTGTATTTTCTTTAGGTGTCTACCCATATTCGCTAGTTATTTCAAGTGTAAGGACGAAAAGTAACCCCCGTAGAATATTTACCAGGGGTCATTCTTCTAAGTAGAAATTTGACCCCCTGGTCTACGTAGAAAATTGACCCACTTATTTTGTAGAAATAATTGCCTATGGGGTTGTTTTTCTTCGTGTACATTGCAGAAAAATGATCCAGTAGAATAATGACCCCTTGCCATTTTTTGATGCAAAAACATTCGTTTTTGGTGAATGCATAAGGGTAATATCAGTCAGTCTTATGATATGAAGTGTACATGTACATTTCTGATAGATTTAAAGCTTTTGTAACGAAATAAAGCTGTATTATACATTGCATTAATAAAACAAGCTGTTTTTTTTTACCCATTAAAGGAAAACAATATCTATTAAAATGTTTTAAGACTATTAGAATAAAGATACGAGTATGCAAAGATTTATTTATGTTTCCACAATTGTCATAATTTTTATCTTTAAGAAAAGTCATTTTCTAGCTGGTGTCAGAAAAAGGAACTAAAAAGAGTTTTCATATGTATATCTTTGATTTTACCCTGGATAAATAATTTGCAAAAATCAAAATATAGTTTTATTTTTCAAAAGTTTAAAGCTCTTGAATTTTGATCCCTACTTTTAAAACTGGCACGAAAAGCTTAGGAAATTAGATATGATAAAAAAATATTTGGTTTTCTATGAATGAAATTTCAACATTCCCAAAGAAAATAAGGGTGATTTAATTGTTAAACTATTTCTCAATTAAATTGCCTCTTAACGAATGAAACCAGAAAAACATAAAGATGTTAGCTAAAGATTTTAAAATGTATTTTGTCGTTTGCTAGTGTTAGGAAAACCTTAACAAAATGGTGGTTATAGCATACAAAATGATTATCAATCAATTTTATTAATACTTCTTAAAGAAAATGTTTATAAATTGAATTGAATGTTTTCACATTTAAAGAATATTTTACTTTACAAAATGCTTAGACGATTAAATGCTTAGTAATTTAACAATTTCTGTCCATGTAATTAAACATTTTCACGTATCATGTAACGCATAACATAGATATATTTTTGGTGTACAGAAAAATTTCATTCCACCAGATAGACTATTACACTGTATACTCACCGTATATACTCGCCTATGAGTCGGCATATTTTGGGAGTTAAAGATTGGTCTAAACTCTGTGTCCGACATATAGGCGAGTCATAAAGATATTGGTATTTTTCTGGAGGCTAAAGGTAGTAGCTTCTTGCATTTCCGACGATTATCAAAGGAAATGTCTGGATACATAAGATAATTTATGCATTCTTAGATTTTATATATAAAGTACAAGTATTTACATATTTTAATAATTCTATTTGTATTTTAAGTGTTTAAAAATAATTTAAGATTAAATATCAGCGTCATTTCGAACAAATATTAAATGACACCAGGTTAAAACATCAATGGATTCACTTGTCACCAGATTTTGGCAAAAATTGTACCGACTTATAAGCGGGTCAATAGGAAATCCCATCAAAGAACGTCAAAAATACAATCGACTTGTAGGCGGACCGACTTATAAGCGAGTATATACGGTAATTCTTTTTTTTTCTTTTAAATAAAATTACACATCTGAAAAAAATACAGCGTTAAAGATATTTTTTCGACATAGAATGATAGTATCTTAAAAATGAGTTCTTTGATGATTGATGTTAAAAGAACAGTTTTCACATGCGCTGTAATTTTCATCTTATTGGCAGATATCATTTATAAACAGTTTTCTGCTCAGGGTACTGACCGTGCTTACTCTAACAAGGTAAATTCCCTGGCAATACAGTAGGAAAATTCATAATGTTCTCTGTGTTAAGGACCTCTTATAAGTAGAAATTTTAATTACAAAAAAAAAGATTCATAAAGATAAACTGTATAGTATATTACTTATTGAATGACCCTTGTACATTGTATAAACTGTCTCTATAAATAACATTTTCTACGAGTTTACGTGGTTTATATAATTTATATTATGTATTATAGTAATTAATATTTTCATAAAAAAGACCCAACATTTATAGCGCCGTCATTTGTTGGAATAAAAAGGGGAGTTTTGTTGATAGCTTTTTCATTGCCGGAAAAAAATAATTCCAACTTCCTAAATAACACGTTCAATTTTGTAAAAACTCACCTCATTTCATCTTGATGAATAAAGTTTCGTAGACTAGCGTGTTTGGTACGATCGTTTGTTAAAAAATTATATATTTCTGAAAATTATTAAACTATTTCAAACTATTAACGATATATGATGAATTGAAAGATAGTTCAAAATTGTTTACTGGAAGCTATATTCCCACTTAGCCAAAATTCTGAATTTCTGATTCTCATCTAACCAAAATTGGGATATTCACATCTGAGTAGTCACCTGTTTATAGTCTGTTTGGGCTTATTACCTGTACTTATTACCTGTGGTGTATACGTTCAATATAAAAATACTTATAAAAAAATAATTGATTTATGATTGATTTATTAATTAATCAGGTTCTACATAACTATTAAATATTTTAAAATACATACCGGTACATTTATATCAATATCATTTTAAACGGAAAACTGAGGATCAAGTTTTATGTAGAGAGAATTTAAAAAAAAAACGATTTTCGTGGGGGAAAGTGAAAAAAAAAAATTAAATCATCCATTTACAGAGAGATTTTTTTGTTTGACAATACACTGAAATAAATGAATGTATTTGGCACATTACTTAATTAAATCTTTTCGATAAAGAGATTATACATACTCAGAATGAAAAGAAAAAAAAATGAGTTTAACTTCTTTTGCCGAAATATTTGTACTAAATAGGAATTACATGTATACTTGTACTATAAAAAAAAATAATGGCATTAATTTATTCAAAATTAAAAGAAATCAAATGTATGGAAGATTAATTTACCCTTATACCAAATTAATCTCATTTAATTGACAGAAGCACATATAATACCGTTAAAACTAATAATGGAACGAATTATCAAAAAATCTAAAAGTCGTCTTGGTACGAGTTAATTAGTTAGTATCCTTCCGCTTCCGCCACTCAGAAAAAGAGAGCGCGGCAAAAAAAATTTCCATTACAAATTTTTATCCAAAGAAAGCGAAACAATCTGCAGATTCCAATCCTCAGAAAATGCCGCCAGTTAGAGGATAAGTGACGACGCGGTCCAGGAAGGATCAGGACCGTAACTTTGTGTCGCCAGGCAGAGGACGAGGGATTCGGAGGCGGACCAACTAGGACAATCGCCCCCCCCCCCTCCCGCACGAAGACCCACCAAATACCAGACCAATGCAAAGGGGAAACTCGGCAAGGAGAACAACTACGAAACCAGCCACAGCAACGGTGGCAAACCCTATGCTTAGCACAACAGATCTTTCAGAGGGCCTAGACGAGGCTGAGACCTCGAGCAAAACGGGTGAGTCGAATATTTTGAGCCTCCCCACGGCAAATGAATTATCTCTTAACATAATTAATGATGAATTCGATGCCCCCCCCCCCATTTAACATCTCAGACTACCAACCGGCCCAGACCCCCAGCTGTATAGACCCTATCAGCGCCCACGTCCCCATGAAAATTAAACAAAAGATTTGGGAGGGAAAATTTATTGATCTATCAATATTATTAAAATCGGAGCGGGAAATTTCGGACCACTTAGACACACAATACCAAATACAAATACGTCATGGCACAATGTGCCTTGTTAAGCAAAAAACACGCACCTTTTTGTCAATTTACAAATGGACGTCAGCCTTCCTCATCTTTACAAGTATAATGTTGGAAAAATACGGAACAAGAGCTCAAGAATTTTTTTAATATATAAGCGATATAAGAATGGCCGCAGATAGATCTGGGAACGGTTGGTTCACCTATGATAAACAATTTAGGTTACGCAAAGTATCTGACCCACACTCATCTTGGGGTATCATAAACTCCGAACTCTGGTTGATACATGTTACAAACAACTATGTCACACAGGCACAAGAAAAGCCCATATCTCCCACACAAAATTTCTACCCTCATCACAAACAGTCCTACAACACAGAGGCTAAGGAAGGTGCAAATTCAACATCAAATCGTTACTGCTTTGATTTTAATTCAGACAAGTCATGTAAAAATTAACCAAGATGCAGGTTTGTCCACTCGTGCAATTCATGTTGCGGATCACACCCCTCAATCAATTGTAGGAATAGAAACGCCAAATTCTAACATGGATAGCAACAGTTTAGGAAAAACTCCATTTGATGTTTACATTTTGTCTGTTTATATAAAAGGTTACAGCACTAAATCCTTTATCCCCATACCTATTTAGAATTAATGACTTTTGCCCACTTATGGGGGGAGGGATATTTGAACGTGTATATAGTCAATTTTAACCCAGAACTAACCAACCCAAAGCATTGCAGGTCAAAAAATATGGATCATAGGGTCTTCCATTCCTTACTGGGCAGGGGAAGCAGCCAAACACTGCCCAGGGGGACAAAGCCTGAACCTCCCTGCCACACTGCTATGGAGAACACACATGGGGATGCACTGGAAGGAACTCGATCCAAAAATCCTACAGCTCATCAAACAAGAAGTACCCCCCCCCCCAATTACTTAGAAATTCATATACGATCCAATGACTTGGAAACCCCAAAATTTAACTAGCACAAAATTCATATAAGAGATTCAGTGCAGCTTCCTGCGATATAATGCCCTTCTCCCAAATACTAAATTGGTGTGGTCACACATTCTACCACGCCGTTATTGGCATGGAGCCCCATTGAACAGTGGTAAAAAGATTGACAAGAAACGCAAAAGAATTAACAAAAATATATCTACATTTGTCACAGAATTGGGTGGGGGTGTTATTTCTCATGCAAATATATCCGTCGCAAATACTTACTTGTTCAGATTTGATGGAACCCACCTCTCTGAGCTGGGCAAGAGAACCTTCTTGAATAACGTAAAAAGTGGTTTGTGGTCCCTCATTCAAGGTAAAGGGAAAGTGTCCCCCAATATAAAGTAATGGAGGAACATCATATCGATGTCTGTGGCGGGTCAGGGGGGATTAGTGGGAGGGTTGTGAACATATCTGGCTCGTTGTTTCCCTGCCCAGTCAGCAGATAAGTTGGTGGGCACTTTGTTGGGTAGACAGGTTGTCTATTAAGTATCCAACCTATGGCAATGTATAACAAAAGTAAAGTAAAATGTCAATTAAGAAGTTTTTCGATTGGGGTCTTTGCCAAGCCTGCAGGCCTGGGGCCCCCTTCACCTCTTGTAACAGGAGGGGAGGCTAAGTACTGGAGTACTTGGGTGTTAAAGTACTGCTGACCAGAGGCAATCACCGGAACCAGGGTATACAGATGTGCTCGCAACTCTCTAGGGCCAAAATGTCTAGTACCTTAATTTGGGATCCCAGGCACCTGTGACCAACACAGGGCCACTGGTTTTGCCCGGTACTTTTTAGTCGGTATGCTAGTTGTCCCTCCTGGACCATATTCTTTATTGTACATCTATTCAATGCGGCCTATTAACGCCAACTCCCTTTTTGTCCATCACAGTTATGAATAACAAAAGATTGTACATGTATGCTTTTTCAAGTCTTTAATAAATTTAATGAAAATCATTCAACTTTTGTCTATTGCAAAGTTAACACCAAGGAAAGGGAATATTGACCTTACAAGCAAAAGGTACAAATTGCAAAGCATGTCAGGTCCCACAGGGCAGTTATTACCTGACTGTTCAATTAAAATTCCAAATATTAATTTGAGTTACCATTCATTGCAATATAAGCATTTACTAACTATATTTTAACCCATTTATTGTGGTTAATCTTAAACAGACTATAGGTCACCTGTAGTTAATTTCTTTTGTTCTTCCCCTCACCATTCCCACCAAACCACAACCAGTCACCTGTAACTTTTTTTTTTAGAATTTTGGCTGAATGGGAAGACACCTACTGGAATATTGGCAGGATTAAGTAAACAGTTTTCGGTTAAGATAATTTTCATATTTCATTTAACGTAACGTTAAAATCAATAACATCGTGATGACGTTGTTACGTCAAAAGTTGTAATAATTGAAGAACATGAACCATTTTCCCAAACCTGGCGGAAAAACGGTAAGAGATAATTCCAAAAAAAAAAAATAAAATGAGTTTATTTTATTTTTTTTTTACAGTGAACTATCTTCAGTATTCCTTTTGCTGACATAAGTGAACTTAATTCCTGTAGGTTTAAAACTATTGAAACAGGACATCTCTACAATTTAAATATGAAATGTCCTTTCTTTGTTTTCACTTTAGCAAATTAACCTCCAGGATTCTAGAAAGAGCAGTGTCTTATCAAATACAGTGTTATTTTCCTTTACCGGTATTAGATGTACATCCCATTGGTTTTTCAGTTGAGAAGGAACTTACGGCGGGTTTTACAGTGTACTGGTTGGAAGATGCTCACTCTTCCATGACACCCTATCACACTTCAGATGATTTAGAAGTCCGAGTTTGCCCTGCTCCTATTTTCTATTGTTTTATTGACTTACGATGCACTAAAGGTGCAATTAATTGATGATTCATACGATGCTTGTATCATAAAGAGCACATGGGATCAAGGTAGGGGACATGTATTGTTTATTGGCAATACTCTCATAATGCCTGTTTAAAGTTTAAAGTTTGCAGACAACCGTGGGGTTTGTGCGTGACATCACTGATATTGCGCGTGTAATTAAAATTGACTGAATGTAGGCTAATAGCAGTGTCAATCCATGTTTGTATGGTTTTGTAGGTCGATTTTCATCCACACTGGTACTATGTTTTGGTTTGTTTGATCAATTGAATTGGCATACTATTAAGCACCACGAGATGAATTACTGAAACATCATCCTTTAATAACGGTCATAAATGAAGTTTTTGACGTTGTGTGAGATGTTGCAAGTTTTTTTTTCGTGCGGAGTTGGTTCGAACCATCATTTATGCTTTTATATGATTTTTTTCTTGTTCACTGAACTTACATGTTGAAACTTTTGCCTAATTAACATTTTTGAATCGTTTAAGATCATTTGCTGTATTTTTGCTTTGAAAGTTATGTTCTAATTGTTCATTTTCAATACACTTAAAATTTTTGTTTGTAAATATTTAAGAACAATCATATTTTGAACTTTTGATAATGATTAGGGCATAAATTGTTCAGATTCATGAGAAGGTTGAATGTTCATAGATCGGTGTGTTTATGTGTCAGAGGTCAAAACCTTGTCTTTGGATCGATCAGAATCTACGATTTATCCATGCGTAAAATTCAGAAAATTTTGAATGGGTAGACAAAAAGGTTCGATCAGACTGATTTTAAGAGGTTTTACAAGGGAAGAAGTTGATTTGCTTGTGTAAAATATTTCATCTATGCATGATTTTGGACCATGGACATTCCAAAACCTGTGTACATGTAGGATATAGCAATCTTTTGCGTGCGTCATACTACAGATGGTTAATAAGTTAGCCTTTACTTTTGGTGCAATCAAGGATTGAGAAATATTCCGATATAACCACACATATTAAGCCAAAGTTCAAGTAACTTGCTTTCATAGACGCATTTTTGGTAAAATTTTAAGTAATAAACCTAGTTATGGAAATCTGTTGTTTCTGAACAAACGATTTTAGAGATAACTTGTAAATTTGCCTAACTTCACTAAATTTAGAGATAACTTGTAAATTTACCTAACTTCACTAAATTAAAGTACATGCACATGTAGCCTTTGTTAACTTTATTAGCATGATTAGGATCAATTAGAAACTCATTTTGTGTTTAGTTTGATGTGTGTTGGAACTCATGAAGCAACAGGAGTTTTCAAAACCTTCCTACATTTAGGAAAAAAATGCAGCAAACTCGTCATTTTGAAATAAATTGTCACAATTGAGCATATAAATTCTTTGAAACAGGAAAAAGGCGGGAAAAGTTTTAGAAATGATGTATTTTGTCCATTTTTATAATATAACACATGAACAGAGCTTACATGTTTCGCCATGCTACAGGTTGACACATAACATGTCGCTGTGGCAAGCGTAATGTAAATTTCTCAATTTGTTAATAGCAGATTATGGTCGATATATCATGCTACAGGGTCTCTTGACCATCCACTCGGTATAGGGAATCAACTCAGGCTCAGAAAATATTCATCCGCACTATTGCCTTGAGGAATCGTCTGATTAACGTGAATCAGATATGGTTTAAACTTCAAAGGGATACTGGCTCGGTAGTGAGTGGCCATGCCATAAGGAGTTGACTGCACAAATTTCACTTACTGACCCGATGCTCTTGTCTAATTTTTTGGTTGAGTAATAGTCATATTATGACCCGACACCAATGGCGTCGTCATTGTCGACTCTGGGTTAATACCTCATGGATGTGAGAAAATAATGAAACTGAAGAGGAATTTTCTTAACTTAAGCATCTTGTCCATTAAAGTATAATTCTTTTAAGAAACTTTCATGTGATTTCTGTTCAGCAATTTTATATTTTTGATTTATATTACATACAAACTATATATTCATTAAATGAAGTACAAACCATAAACATTGTTAGGATTTTCTACCCAGGAAATTATACAAGTTGGACCTATGACGGTTTTATTTTATAAAATGCGATGATAGAACAGTTGATTTACATTGAATAACTTCTTTTACGTCATAAAAGTTAGTCTCATCAGTAACAACAAACCAAAAAGAAAAAAAAAACAACAGATAGCAAAGTAGTTGCAGATCTGTAGCGTTATGGTTTTATATAGATAAAAGTTTGTCTTTGACCATAATGCTACAGATCCCGTAATGCAAAAAAGGTGCAATTTACGGCGCAATATTTTTTGCTCACTTTTGGTTTGAATTTCTCCACTTTCTAGCTTTGGTCAATCAACTACTTTTCACTTCCTATTTCTAGACACATTATGTAGCCAATATGTATATTTTATCCACTTCCCAACCATTTATTTTTGTCTCTACAAGCAATAAACTCGTTTGAAGTGAATTTTCAGCAATTTAACAAATAATTTCAATCAAGCGAGTTTATCATTTGTAGAGACGACTGTAAAGGGTTGGGAGATGGATAAAATATACAGATTAGTTAAATAATGTGCCTAGGTTTAGGGAATGGAAGGTTGTTAATTGACCGATGCTGGAAAGTGGAGAAATTCTCCAAAAAAATATTGAGCCGTAAATTGCACCTTTTTTGCATTACGAGATCTGTAGCGTTATGGTCAAAGACAAATATATAAAACCATAACGCTACAGATCTGCAGCTAATAGCAAAGCATATTTCGTTTTAATAGCTTATATGAAAAAGAATGATAGAGGAAATATCAGAAAATCCATTGGTATGTTGATATGTTTAATTGCATGTAAATAATACCTAGTTTGTGATTTCCAATTATTTTGTTACCGGTTGATATTAGTTATACTTGTATCCGTAGTAAACTGCTCCTTGAGCAACGACTATGTCAGCTTTCTTTGGAATGACAACAGTCCTCTCTGGAAAATACTCTCTCACTTTTTTGTGTACCAATTTGGTATTGGCATAGCCACCGATTATACATACACATTTAATATACTGTTCTTGTTTCCTGAAAAATGATCATCTATCAATTTCTTGATTTCTTCTAATATATTAGTAAACATGTCTTCCAACTGTGAAACATAAATGCAAAGAAAACAGTCTTTGTTGACTTCTTTCCAAGAAATGCTTTTCTCCTCTGCGTGTTTTTCATTGTTGAATCTTTTAATTTGCATTTGTGGCGAACTCTTCCTCCCCTCAGTTAGTGTTTTCATAATAGATGGTATAGTATTTCAACAGGTTCTGCACCTAACTTGAATGTGTTTTTGTTTGTCTTTATCTTTTCAAATGAGAGATGTAACTCTTCTAATTCTGCCTTATTTCTTTCGAAGTCTTCCATTACATCTAATCCAAAAATTCTGTTTAGAAAATTTAGGGATCCATCTTCAACACTTTTTGTCCCCCATTCTCTTCTGTCTGGTTCATCTGCTTGATCTTTTCCCTCTTTTTGTGCAGTTAGAATTGTCAATTCACACGCACCTGAAACAATAATGTATGGTTTAAAAATAAACTTTACTTTACTAACACATAAGATTTCAAGTTCTAAGATAAACTTTTATAGGACTATAGGATATAGGCTTAAATAAATGACTTATGAAAGTAGGTTGAGGTAGATATTGTGTTAAAATATAAAAAAAAATGTTGCGTTTTATCGGCAATAGCTATAACTGAAAATTTAATCTTCATTAAGCACAGCTGATACAATATATATATATATCTCGATTGGTACTTTTTTTCACGGTTTGATGTTTAAATTATGTGACTTATTAATTTTTACAGCATTAAAAAATTGTAAACTTTTTTATGATTAAAAAATGAATACATGACCCCCCCCCCCCCTCCCACCCCCTCTTTACACCCAATTACTGTGAAACTTGAAATTAGAATTTGAACATGACGTTTTAACCTATTAATTTTACTTACAATTAACATACATATAAATGAGGTTGTTATATCAGGATTTTTAAGGATTTTTAACAAAATCAATTGACCTTAAAGAAACGTCGATTTTACATGATTCTACATGTACAATGCTGCAACAGCACAGGTTTTAATAGGTATTATTTATGAGGTTTGCTGAAAAATAAATTTAACTGTGCATCACGAGGGATGAGCGATAGTCAGATTAGATTCCTGGGTAGATGGAAATCGGATGCATTTAAATATTACATAAGACATATGACACCATGTTGATATATGCTTGAGTGGAAGTGGATCCTCGGAGCAGATTTGTTTTGTTATTTGTGTAGGATCTCGACTTTGAAGTGATTTTCAAGAGTTTTAACGTATGGGGGCATATGTTTATCCCTCATCCAGAACAATAGTGCCTAAGTCATTTGTTAATACTTAGGCTGGTAGGTGACAAGATCGCGTGCATATAAACATTTAAAATGGTGAGGAAGCTTACAGTGTGAAATATTTTCCAATATGGGGGCATATGTCTATCCCTCATCTGAAACATTGCTCGAGACAGTCCTTAAATGAATACCACATACATGTGAACTTAGTAAAAAACAGCGAATACGATGATGATTTGCGACTATAAGGGCATACGTTTATCCCTTATCGGACATTCTACATGGTGATTCTTTAATACTTGGGACCCACAGACATAATACACTAGGAATAGTAAACTCATTGGGTTGTGATGGGGGCATATGTTTATCCCTCATAAGACACTTGTGAATTCAAATTGTTGTTTTATTGCATTACGGGACATATGTTTATTCCCATGTTTGTAAATTTTACTCACTTTTGGTATGATTTATGTTTGAGGTGTGTTACCATTTATTTTTCCTTTATGGGTCTGAACTTTCCCTAATTCGGTCAAGTCAGTGGCGTTTTCAGACCCATTTTCATGATTTTTCTGTTAAATCTAAGTGGTAATTACTGTAAATTTGGATTATCTCCCTTTACAAAATTGGTTTTATTTCTCATCTTGATATCTTGTGTCTGCTAAAAATTATATGTCATTATCAATAATACTTTTGAGAATTTCAAACAAATTATTAAACGTCACAAAGGTGGCAACACACGACAAACTGTTTAACAGACTTTTTACTCATTGAAGGAGGATAAGATAAGGTGTTCTAGCTTTGAAAGGATTATAGAAAGAAATTAACCAGTTGATGGGTAACCGGGGTATCAAAATACTTATTGCATTAAAATAAAAGTATTGTTTGTGATGATTCGTCTCTGTTGTTGGAAAAAGTTAAGTAGAAATGATTTTAAAATTTTACTTTTCATGGTGGTTATAATTTGTGGGTCTCTCCAAACATGCACCTCGATCCACGAAAATTAATTCCCACGGAAATAAGTGATTTCACTGTTTTCCAAATGATAATTTTAAACAATCATATGTATATTTTGTTTACTTACTGCTGCCTATGTCTAATATTGCATACTTTGTTTCGTCACTAAATGATAAGTGGTCCACATTAAAGTTCTGACACAAAACATCGGCCTTTACTTCATGTAAAAAAGGGGAAACCACTTCAGCTTTGGACACAGTTATGGTTCTCTTGGCTCCTTTTATCTAATTTAATCCAGAAGTCTCTGTTGAGACTGAAGCTCTACTGGTTTGTACTTATAGCAAAGGAAGAGAAAAGTACTTTAGCAGTTGCAATTTGAAACTTTACAACAGCAATAAATAAAATAATGATCCTTGATTATAAGTCTCTTTATGTTCTTAGTGTAGTCTACTTGCATTCCACATTATATTAAAATAGACAAAAACTGTATTTGGAGTAGCATTTTGAGAATATTGAACAGAAATTTCTATTTTTAGTAACAAGAGCAATAATTTCATCGAAGTCAAAAAACCGATACACAGAATTGTGTATCTTAGTGTAGTCTACTTGAGTGGAAAGTTATACTGAATCAAACTAAAAATTTTGGAGACATGGCAATTTGAAAGAAATTCACAGAAATTTTCTATTTTTAGTAACCATGACAACACCGTTCATCGAAATCAAAAACCGATGCACAGAATTATGTATCTTAGTGTAGTCTACTTGTGTGCCAAATTATATTGAAATCGGACCAAAAGTGTAGGAAGAGTAGCATTTTGAAAGAATTCAACAGAAATTTCTATTTTTAGTAACAACGGCAACACTGCTCATCGAAATCAAAAACTGACGCACAGAATTATGTATCTTAGTGTAGTCTACTTGTGTGCCAAGTTATATTGAAATCGGACCAAAACTGTACGAGGATTAGCGTTTTGAAAGAATTTAACAGAATTTTCTATTTTTAGTAACCATGGCAACACCGTTCATCGAAATCGAAAACTGATGCACAGAATTTTGTATCTTAGTGTAGTCTACTTTTGTGCCAAGTTAAAATGAAATCAGACCAAAACTGTAGGAGGAGTAGCATTTTGAAAGAATTTTACAGAAATTTCTATTTTTAGTATCCATGGCACCACCGTTCATCGAAATCAAAAACCGATGCACAGAATTATGTATCTTACTGTAGTCTACTTGTGTGCCAAGTTATATTGAAATCGGACCAAAACTGTATGAGGAGTAGCATTTTGAAAGAATTTCACAGAAATTTCTATTTTTAGTAACCATGACAACACCGTTCATCGAAATTGAAAACTGATGCACAGAATTATGTATCTTAGTGTAGTCTACTTGTGTGCCAAGTTATATTGTAATCTGACCAAAACTGTAGGAGGAGTAGCATTTTGAAAGAATTTCACAGAAATTTCTATTTTTAGTAACCATGGCAACACCGTTCATCGAAATCAAAAACCGATGCACAGAATTATGTATCTTAGTGTAGTCTACTTGTGTACAAAATTATATTGAAATTGAACCAAAACTGTAGGAGGAGTAGCATTTTGAAAAATTGTTTACAGACGGACGGACAGACAGACAGACGGACGACACATTACTATCGCATAAGCTCTTCTGGTCTCTGACCAGTAGAGCTAAAAAAAAAACAATGACCCACTCATATTAGATAATGTGTACTGAAAGTAACAAAAACAAGAATTACGAATAAAATGAAGCACAATGAAATGAATATAATGCTATTGTTCACGATTTTCGCTTCTAATAATTATTAAGCTAGATAGCAAAATGGAAAGCAATTGTTCAATTTAACAGCATAATGTACATAAATTATTTTGGCCCTGTACAATTTTGCCTGTTTCTTTTTCTTTTCTTCTCTTTCTCTCTCTTTCTTTCTCTCTCTCTCTCGATCTCTCTCTCTCTCTCTCGATCTCTCTCTCTCTCTCTCTTTGCTTCAAGTAATATCACTGTGATGTGTTATTAGTGCATGTATCTATCATAATTTTATTATCTTTTATCTTTTATTTCTTGTTTCTGTTACTTATAAGCAAATGATTTTGATCTGAATTTGGTTCAAATTAAAAATGTTTTTGAAAAAAATGTCAGTTCTCACCACATAAGCTTATATTTGTCTGTTTTACTATAACTCTACTTACAATTGAGGAGAACATAAAAATAAAAATTTATCTAATTATTTAATTAAGATTTCATCATCGAAAAATATTCTGCTAGGTTTTGTATATGAAATGAAATTAAATTTACATTTTCCGCCTCAGCCTGCAAAGATATAAGACTTTTTTTTGTTTTGTTTTGTTTTTGTTTTTGTTTTTGTTTTTAAAACACTCACCTCTCCTGATTCCTTTATTGCGTCATTAAATGTTTTCATGAGATCTTTCTTTGAATATTTCCAATGGCTTGGGATAGTAATTACATATTCTATATTTTCTGGGTGTTTAGCATGTTGAAGTGTCTCGTTGGCCCTTTCCTTGACTTTTCTTACAATATAGTCAAGTATCTTGGTATAAATTTTAGCATGGCTAAGTTGGAGTTCTCTACCCTACAAAACATTTTTATTATAGTGTATATTTACATGATTGTATGTTTATATATGTTACTGTGGTTTCATCAATTTTCGTTGGCATCAATTTTCGTGGATTTTGTTAAACAAGACATTTTTGAGGATACGTAATTTCGTGGACAAAGGCATTGCCTATACAAATGAATATCATATTTCTTAATTCAATGTACATTTAAATTCGTGGATCTGCTCAACAACGAAATCCACGATAATTGGTGCTCAACGAATATTGATGAAACCACAGTATAGTGCATTTTGAAAGTTACATACTATAATGCTTAGATTATCAGTTTTCTATAATGCGAAACTGATATTCTATCTCTAGTATATGAATTTAATTTCGATACAATTACATGAGTATAGTACTTAATCATGTCAGAAAAGTTATTAGAACGTAGGGTGATTGATTGTTGGACTGTTGGTTTGTAATTGGTTGAATCGTTGGCTGTTGTGTAGTGGTGATGTGATTAAATTTTCAGATGAAATAAGCAATGCGTTCTTTGCATGCCGTGTTTACTGAAATATGTTATAATAAATATTTTGAAAGGTTAATCATTTTGTCCTTAGTCGGGAAAGGAGTATTACACGCCCTAACAAGAATTGACTTCTGTTACTGAAACTAGAGTTTGCCATAGTTAAATATAGTAAACTTTTTAATATTTTAATAAAGTTTAAACCTTTAATCTCGAATTTATGTTTAAAATAAAGAGTGTTGATGTTTTGGAAGTTCTATGGTCGATAGAATGACCTTCTCAGTAAATACAATTTGACATTCAGTCAGATACTGATTGACGATTTTCATACTTATTTTTTGGCAAATATTTTAAAGATAAATTTGTAAACAATGGTCTAACAGAAATAAAGTTTCTGTAATTTCCAATTATGACAAGGAGCACATGGTAAATGTGAAGGGTCAAAAAGGGTTGGTCACTCCTCCATGGCACCGGTCACGGTAGCCTAGTGGTAGAGCGTTCGCTTCGTGATCGGGAGGCCCGGGTTCGATTCTCGTTCGCGGCGCCGCGTCATACCTAAGACGTAAACAAAGGTAGTGACTGTTCCTTCGCCAAGCGCTCGGCACTAGAAGTGAAAGTCACGGGTCTTTCGGATATGACCTTAAAAACGTAGGTCCCGTGTCACGGTAGGCGCTGGCACGATAAAGAACCCTCACTGCTCAATGGCCCTGAGTGCCGAGTATAGGTCTAAATTTGAAGCCCTTCACCGGCATACGGTGACGTCTCCATATGAGTGAAAAATTCTCAAGAGGGACGTAAAACAATATACAATCAATCAATCAATCACTCCTCCATGGCACCTAGACACACCTCTGATGTTTTATAGGGCAGTGTTTGCTTTGCTCCTATTTGTATTGGTTCATGGACTGTTGAGATTGACTACTGTTTGTTAGCACCATGTATTTCATTGTCATTTTTAAACTACACACCAATGGTTATTTTATTTCATAAAATACTAGTAATTATTGTCAAGTGCAGTTGAGCAGATAGAATGTCATATTTTTTTATTTGTTTTTATGGCGTTTGCATTTTTTTGTCAGAACTCTGATATATGTAATGTCATTCATCACCTTTTGATTGTTTTTTAATAAAATTTTTAAAATGTTTCCTACTTCCTAATGGTGTAATTTGTAACCTTAATTATGATATTAACAAAATCAGATGAAGTTACCTCTGGTGAAATTAGATTCATTTTGTGGATAAAAATGCTTTTTTCAGTTCCCCTTAGTTTAATGAATCTATCTAGAGCGTCATAGCCAAAAAACTCCTCTTTTTCCAAGACAAGAATCGACATTGGTTGTTTTCTAGTAGGCTTTTCATGGTGCTCATTTATGACGTGGACTTTCTTTGCATCTGTATGATCTTGTACAGCCCATCCAAAGTACGACTCACTTATTTCTATTGAAACAATGTACCTGTTTCCTACAAAAAGGACATTGAAAAACCGTTGTACATACGCAGCTATTAAAAATATCAATATAATACTACTTACTTTCTCCAAACTAATATTTTTGGCGAATCACATATTTACTCAAAGATTCAAAATTTCAAGAATGCTCAATGTCATTAAATAAGTATTTTTTTCATTGTTCATATTTTAATGTTTTTCAAACTTTGACTAAACGTTTTGATTTATTCTTTCGTCTAAGCTTTGATTTAAAACAATGAATCTTCACTTTGTTAGCAAGTCCTTAGTTAACAATATTTTCATAGCAAATTTTAATATTTTCATAATTATGACAATCCGCTTTAATTTTCGTGATATTTGTTTTTTAAATAACCATTTTTTTATATTGATATTGGGAAACTTATTTCTTCATTTTAAAACCCTATTTATATATGTAATGAGTAATTTTTATGTTGTCTAAGAACAATACTTTCATTAACAAATTTCAAACAAGGAAAGGTGCCTGTGTTACAAATGAAATAACAAAATATGAACGGTTATATCAATAAAAAATATATGTTGTTAAAAAAAGAATGTATCTTAATATTTTTTTTTCATTTTATTTATTTTGATTTTGATTTAAAAAAAAAACTGTTTTTGTTTTTATGTCCCTGAAATCAAATGCGTGTATTAGTATGCAACGGGTATATAGATTTCCCACTAACGACCATCCGACATTTGACCGCTGTTTGTTTGTCTGCAAGAGATTGATTCTGCCATTAATCCTCAGATTATTTGGATATTTGAACTGTATTACAATCAAACAATCAGTTAAGGCGAAAGAGAAAAGCAACTCCAAAACCTCCTCCAACGCTGCTAATGGAGAAAACTTTTTGCATTCGATGAATAAATCGTCCGATTACGGCATATCAAACGCTGATAGCGAAGTTAAGGATAGGTTATCGAGACCCATTAAAGAACATCTCCAAATCAGCGTGCTTGCAAAATTATGATAAGCAAAACTAATTATTCCCGCGTTTGTTTACATCTTTTGTTTCTTACCTTGTGTACTTCTATTATACCGAATAGGTCCATTCTTTAAACGTGAGAAAAAATACAATATATATTGCATATAACGACATATAGATGTGTTTGACAGGGCAATATATAATTTTGAGATATTAGACACTCTTACATTTTTTTCATGAAAAAAGGGGGGCCAATTATCCACACTTCAGGTGCCTGTGAACAGGTCCTATTTATTTTATTACATAATTATATTCAAAACACCATACGCATACAGAATTAAAACGCCTTATCAGAATTCCTTAGAAACAAATATTTGCAGCGGGTTTCAGTTAATATTCCACCAAACTTCTTTCTTTTTCCTCACTAACTTATCAATATTTACAACAGTGATGTTGAAACTTCAGATGTTGCGTAATCCATTATAACAAAGAATTTGGTGTACCTTGTCATTGGACTTTTGCAATTTAAAAGAAATTCTAACTGTAAACAGGAGTATTCTGAAATTGAGTTTAAGGACATGTAATACAAACAAAAATTACTATGCCTGGTTCTGCTGATATGCCTTTATTTTTATTTATTACCTTACAGTATAGTTCTGCACAACACGCCGTCGCACTAACATACAGCTCGCCGTCGCGAAATGTGTCATAGCGCGCTTGCGTGTTGTGCACTTCGAACTTGCGTTAGCGTGAAAGCGTATTGCGTGTTAGTGCAACTGCTTGTTTGTGACGAGAACTATGAATGGAGTGACGGAAATCGCATATACATGTACTACCTGCAGCAGGTACCAGGAGCAATCCTGCATCTTCTTCATCACTCGTGTATCTTCGACTCTCTGAAGAAAATCATTTATTATATATAGACACTATAGCAAAAAAGCTTTCTTTCATTTCTGTCAGTTAAAAATAGAATGTAAAAACAATAAAAAGTTATAAATGTTTGTATCTATGTAAATTCTTCATAAAGTACCTCTTTGGCATTTCATTGTCAAATAAATTATTGAATTATTTAAATTTTCAAAAGCTAGTAATAAATTTTAATGGATGTAAAGTCTATTTAAATGCAAATTGATTCACTCAACATTTCAAGTTACTGTTAGGTTGCTTGATACAAATGTGTGGCTTTACGAAATTAACCTTTATCGATTTCTGTAATACTTGACATCCATCAAAGCCTGTTTTTATTTTATAAGCCATTCTTTTTAATAGTTTTTTATTTTCGTTTGATTCTATTCTTTATTTTGCATCTAAGTAAATAATAAAGTTTTTTAAAAAATTCCACCGTATACTTTATCCCCCATTTCCAATGAAATAAAAATAGAAATAGGAAACTAGGTTAAAATGCCGTTGACATAAAAAGTTTTTATTGTTGAAAATCCTTTTTACAAAAAATACATGACAATCTGATACTGTATTCAAGTTGCCCAATTTTTGGTGAGTAAACGACATTCTGACTAGGAAATGACAAATATCTTCAATAATTCTTTTCAAAAATGCTCAAGTATCATTTAATCACATTTTATTTTAACCACATTTTATTTTTCAAAAAGATATCCAACAAAGGATAACTTCACCAAACGTTGAAATAGATTATTTAGCTTTTATGAGTATAATTTCATCAAATAAACAAAAAATAAAACACACGAAAGTATGGAAGCCCGTTGAGGCAAGCTCAAATAAATAATTAAGCTATTCAATGTAAAAAGATGGGATTTTGAGCTATTTCAAATAATTTTAAAATAGTAAAAATGCACTAGTAGATAACGATAAAAGTAAAATGAACCAAATTTACAAGACTGATAAGAAGAAAGGAGACAGTCATGTTGCACGTTACAAGTGTTGAAGACTTGCCTGGCCTTGATGAAAAGAAGAACGTCTGTGATTTTTCAATTTTTTTCCCGTAAATAATTATTCTATTTTATACGTTCATAAAGAGGCAGTTAATTCAAATTTTCACCAGGATATTTTTTTTGTAATTTATTTTTCCAATATCTGATAAAAACATGCGCTGCGCGCAAATTTCAATGTAAAATTCAATGTGCAATTAATTGGACATTAATCAAAACTTTGAAAATTCCTTTGATGGAACATTTCTATTTTGTAACATCTTCAAAATGCTATTTTGATAATAAATATCCGATCATTCGTTTATAAGGTAGAAAATATTATCATTATACATGTACATTGAATAGCTTACCTTTATTACTCTTAGACGCAGCCGATTGCTTTAAAAGGCAATATTTATTTCGTTTAAACAGGTTAGGAGAAATGATAATTTCGAGAAAATAGTGGTTATTCTTTTTTATAGCGAAATTATGTTATATTTCTGACCGTTATTGTCCTCGATTTCATCAAATAGCATGTTTAAAGTTGATGGCGCACGTCATGATTGGTATAAAATGGACACAAATTAGCACTCTTATATTTATGAATTTCAAATTTTTAAAAATTCTTAATCTCAATTTCACTCATACGTGTGTACAATCTATCTCTCAAAATAACTCAATCCACATTGAACTTAGATTGTCGAATTTACAGTAGATAGAGATCATTTAAACTGCATTGTAAGGGATATGTAGGTCCGTTGTGACAAACGGAAAAAAACTTTTTATGATATCATACTAAAATCTTTACCAGAATTAAAGATTTCTTCTACAACAGACAATTAAATACACTGTAAAAGGACAAAATTTGAATAAGTATTTTCAATCGAATATAACTATAAAGAACAATAACCATCTATAAATATATTAAAATATACTATTAACAGATTAAGAGAATATGAATTTTGAGTACAGCAAATGCAAACCTCTGAAATCAAGTGGCAAGGAAAAGTAAAAATACCCACCCGCCTTACGCTCTTTGTCATGATTGTATAAATGGAAAATCTGTTCTCAATCTAGTATAAAAAGTATTGCTTAACGATTTGTATGAAAGGCGTCAGCCAACATCCGACCCCGCAACAAAATGTATTTGTATAAAAGATCATACTAATATCTATGGAAGCAAATGTTGACTTCAAACAAAATTGTAAACATACCCTTAATTATTCAACTCGTTTTTCAAAAAAACTGCTTCATTTTAAGAATTGTTCGTACGAACAATACTTATAGTATGTTCTTGCATATTGATTCAACCATGAGATAAAGACCTCATATGTTGTTTTCTTTATCAAATTTTAACAATAAATAATATTCAACTTTAGTTCTACCAAATAAGTACTATTCAAGGTTAGTAATCTAATATGGTTTATGTTTAAATGACATGTCAATTCTTATTGCAGTAAAGAAAATCACTTTTAACCACAGGTGGGTTGTTTCCATGGTAAAACCGCAAAAAAACAAATAATCCTAATCTGCATAGAGTGTTTTGTTGCAAAGTCCTTATGATGCATATTTTCCTGTCTTTAATTCTATGTTTTTCCTTAAGACAGTAGCATTAACCCAAACTTTGTTATTGATTTTGCTTGGTTACACTTTGTTACCATGGTAACAATAGAATATATTTATAGAGTAATGTTGCTTATAACTATAAACTTAAGGTCAAACATTTTCATTCTTTTTATTAGTTGTTGATTGAGTTTGAGCATGTAGCACCTTTCATTAGTGAATATTGAGCATTTTTTGGCATATTTAAGCATTTAAAATGTATTCCAATGTATCTTGGTTACCAGTTACTTAGAGATCTGAACAGTTTCTTTGCAGCATTAGTGGCTACAAGGTGTCGAATTTTTCGTGTTTCGTATTTCTTTCAAGGCTCGATTAAGATTATTAGTAGCTGAAAATCTCATTTTTAATTTTTTTTTTTAACCAACACAAGCAAAAGATATTTATTTCATTTTTTTCTGAGTCAAGTACTAACATTTGGGTGAAGTTTCAT